CTCAGCGCGATCCAGTTTTATATTCCTTCCACCATTATGCCACACCCTTAAAATCCGTTCCAACACCTATTCCCCAGACGTCTGCTTGATGAACTGGCAAACTCACTAGCAGTGCAGCACAGCTACTCAGGGATTACACATTCTCCCTCCCCTCTAGGCGCCTGCTTAGCTTTGAATCTGGCTACTGGTCTAGAGACAACTAACTCTTGGTGGGCCCTGGGGGACATCAGTATTGTCTTCCTGGCATTTCATTCAGAGAAAGTCCTGCTGGTTTAGCAGACAATGGAGGATTAATTTCCTCAGTCAGGCAGAAAGGGAGATGTTTCAAAGGGAGGGGCTGGGAGTACATTTGCTGAGGGTAGAGAGACTGCTTCCTCAGGTGATAACCCCTGAGAATCTGAGGTTCAGAGTTCTCAGCTTCAATAGGGTCTTTCCACACATTTCCATCCCAAGTTACAGGATCCCATTCTTGACCAAGTGATGCCCTTACCATAACTGCCAACATTCTCTGAGTCTGAAACTGACCAACTTTTCTTTTCTTTCTGTCTTTTTCTTTTTTGAGGTGGGTTTTATTTGGTTTTTTTTTTTTTTTTTTTTTTTTTTGAGACAAGGTTTCTCTGTAACTTTGGAGCCTGTCCAGGGACTCACTCTGTAATCCAGGCTGGCCTCAAACTCATAGAGACCAGCCTGTCTCTGCCTCCCGAGTGCTGGTTTTAGTTATGGCCCACGACTGCCCAGCTATTCAGCTGACCTTTTTTAAATTGATTTTATTGAGCTATACATTTTTCTCTGCTACCCTTCCTTCCACTACCCTCACCTTCAACCTTCTCCCATGGTCCCATGCTCCCAATTTACTCAGGAGATCTTGTCTTTTTCTACTTCCCATGTAGATTAAATCCATGTATGTCTCTCTTAGGGTCCTCATTGTTGTCTAGGTTCTCTGGGATTGTGATTTGTAGGCTGGTTTTCTTTGCTTTATGTTAAAAAAACCACTTGATGAGTACATGTGATTGTTTTTCTGGATCTGGGTTATCTCACTCAATATGATGTTTTTTAGCTCCATCCATTTGCCTGCAAATTTCAAGATGTCATTATTTTTTTCTGCTGTGTAGTAGTCCATTGTGTAAATGTACCACATTTTCCTTCGGTCAAGGGGCATTTAGGTTGTTTCCATGTTCTGGCTATGACAAACAATGCTGCTATGAACATAGTTGGGCATATGTCCTTGAGGTATGATTGAGCATCCTTTGGGTCTATACCCAAAAGTGGTATTGCTGAATCTTGAGGAAGGTTGTTTTCTAATTTTCTGAGAAATCACCATACTGATATCCAAAGGGGCTGTACCAGCTTACACTCCCACCAGCAATGCAGAAGTGTTCCCTTTACCCCACAACCTCTCCAGCATAAGTTGTCATCAGTGTTTTTGATCTTGGCCATTCTTACAGGTGTAAGATGGAATCTCAGAGTTGTTTTGATTTGCATTTCTCTGGTGGCTAAGGATGTTGAGCTTTCTTTTATAATTTTTTTTAAAAAATGCTGCAAGATCCCCCGCGGCAGTAGGCAGCAGAAATGCTGTAGGTCCCAAATGGTGGTAGTGGGCCATGTGGAGGCAGACAACGGGCCCTGGAAGCAGCCAGTCCTAGGCAGAGACGGCTGCGGTCCCAGAGTGGTGGCCTGAGCGGTGGTGGCGGGTCATGTGGCGGCAGGCAGCGGGCCCTGAGAGCAGCCAGTCCCAGGCAGAGATGGTTGCTGGTCCCTGAGCAATGGCTGGTCGGGCAGAAGACAGAAACATGGATAGATACAACTTGCAGAGTGAGATTGAATATTTATTCAGGGAGTTATGAAGGGGGAAGGGAGAAGGGGAAGAGAGAGAGAAAGTGAAGAAGAGAAGAGGATAGAATGGGGAAGCAGAGAAGTGGGGAGAGAGGCAGAAGCAAAGCTGCCTCCCCGAGAGGAAGATGGAAAAGAGAGAGCTCAGGCAGGAAGCTGAAGATCAGCCTGCCTCAGTGGATGGAGGAGGGAGTGGGCGAGGCTTGTCTCTTAAAGAGACCAAGGGACCAAAACCATAACAATTTCCTTAAGTGTATTTCAGCCATTTTAGATTCCTCTGTTGAGAGTTCTCTGTTTAGGTCTGTACTCCCCCCCCCTTTTTTTTTGATTATTTGTTCATTTGATGACCAACTTCTTGAGTTCTTTGTATATTTTGGAGATTAGTCTTCTGTCTGATGTGGGGTTGGTGAAGATCTTCTCCCATTCTATAGGTTGCCATTTTGTCTTGTTGATTGTGTCCTTTTCTTTACAGAAGCTTTTCAGTTTCAGGAGGTCCCATTTATTTCTTGTTTCTCTTCATGTTTGTGCTACTGGGATTCTATTTAGAAAGTGGTCTCTTGTGTTTGGCCAACTTTCTAAGGAGTGCTTTGGTTTGATTTTCCACAATTTGAGCCCTGTGGCTGCTGGAGAGAAGATTCTCTCCCTCCCAGGTTACATTTAGAAATCTTTAGACTGTTGTTGCTCGTCTGAAGCTAGGAAATTTTAGCACTGAGTTCATTGTCCTTCACCCTATCCTGAGATGCTAGAAGCTGGTTAATTTCATCACGGAGCCCATTCTTTTCCTTTGTCGATTTACCCAGAGATGATGGGAGCAACTAACTAGAATCCTCATTTTCCTCACAATTGTCAAACATTTTACATACAGAGTGACCAGATAGATTGTCTCTCACAATTGGTGAACAGGGATAACCAAATCCATCTGTCGCTCCCTAAGTTTTAAAAACAGTTCACACCATGGGGCTTTCAATACTCTGAGTTTCTAGGAGAGGGTTCAGAAACTGGAGAGGCTTTGGTAACTGTAGATGTTGGCAAATTGGAAAGCCTATGCCAGATCATTAAAATATTCATCCTTATGCCTGTGTTGTTCTAGAACCACTTCTGGTACCAAAATCTGTATTAGCGTTTTCTAGAGGAACAGCTGATAGAATGGATATGTATTTTCTATTTGTCTGTCTATCATCTATCTATCTATCTATCTATCTATCTATCTATCATCTACCTACCTACCTATAAGAAAAGGGGGTTTATTAGAATGGTTTACAGCCTGTGATCCACCTAGTCCAACAATGGTTGCCTATCCAGTTAACTGGGTCTTAGTTAATTCCAGACATAGTCAAGTTGACAACTAATAACCATCACGCATGGATTTCGGCTTTGTGACTTTCCACGCTGTAAGAGAATACGTCTATATACGAAAGAGTATCCCTGACCAAACCTTTTTGCTCTATCTCCCTGTGAACTGTCATTGAATGGCTATCACTGTTTAATCCATAACCCGGAAATTCATCACCAATTTACCATCTGGTCCTTGGCACATCTAAGAACTTGGCTCACCAGGCACAATGAGAGATGAACAAAGATTAATGCTTACTAATCTGGGAGAGATAAAAGAATATCAGGCTTATTCCTGAAAGAATAAAAACTCAGTAAGACTCAGACCAGAAGTTGCGTGCTGTTTGGAAAATAAACCCAGAATTAATGTACAATGTGAGGATTGATGGTGCCAGGCCACAGCCAGACATTGCCCCTCTGATTCTGTTGACATTCTGGCAAATTGTTTGCTTTTGCTAAAACCACATTTCTAGGATCCTCAAAGGTTATCACTATACTGCTGCAACTATACAGCATCAGGTTGTTACACAGGTGCTGGCCAGTTTACACGGCCTCTCTAGGACCGGGGTGGAGCCATACCCGTACCTTTAATCATCTCCACACTCAACACTGGACAGAGAGTATTTTCAGTCCCAGGACTTCAGCTGCTGGGATCTCTGAAGCAAGAACCTTTTTCCAGGAATATGTTCTTTTTGGTGGGATGATGACTAAGTGCTGTGTATTTCTTCTGGAACCATCTGGTCTCAATCCCTTGTGATTTCATGAATGCCACTCTTGAAGAATAACATTATCACCCTTTAGGGGTGGACTATGAAGCAGCCCGATCCCTCAGTGCAAAACTGCCATCACCCAGATTTTACGCGCATCTTAGTTGAGTATTTTATCTGAGGAAGGGTCTAGCACTTGAACACATGTAATGACTTACAGAATACTGGTTGTGGCCATTTCTGAGTTGACCCTAAAATGGCTGGTGACTGGGTGGTCCCTTCCAATCTGCAGCTTTATTCTACAATGGTAATTCACACTGCCACCAGGTGTGGCTTATCTTCCTCCAGTTTCCTCACACCCACAAGCCAGGACTAGTCATGGGGTCTCCCATCTAACCAAGATGCATAGCTTTTCATTCACCACACAGTGTCCCACCTCTGCTCTTCCCTTCTGGGGATGACAGCTGCTGTAACCTCAGGCCTGAGCTTGGAAAGCTAACAGAGGCAGGGGACATAGCTTAGTTGGTAGAGTGCTTGCTTAGCGTACATGAAGCCCTGGAGTTTAATTCCCAGACCCCATACGCCAGACACAGAGTGTATGTGTGTAATCCCAGGACTCAGGCAGCAGAGGCAGGAGGGCAAGTTCAAAGTCATGTTCACCCTGTCTCTCACACACACACACACACACACACACACACACACACACACACACACACACACGTACGTTAACAGTAACAAGTATAAAGTAGTAGGAAAGGCTAGTCAAATCATTTCCTGCACTCAGTTTTCACATTTGTAGATGTTAACTTTAATGTATCTAGTTTTTCTAGTCCTAAAAGTCATAAATTCTTTGAGAAATTCGAATCACCTAAAGTTCCATTTCTGCCGCTTCCTTGTGAGGACTCCAATCTATTTACAGGAACTCTCTTGGAATTCCTTTAAGCTGTTTTGAATAATTTACTAAAGGGCTGTCAAAACTAGTACTTGCTCTAAGAGCTAACTGATTAACTGCAAGGAGAGGCAGCCATTAAACACACACACACACACACATACTCTCTCTCACACACAACAGGCAGAACCACTTTTGGAAACAATTTCTGTATTTCAATTTTATTTTTACAAAAAGGCAACAAGAATAGCGATGGGGAGGGGGAGGTAGTAAGAATGCTTGCTTGGTCGCTCAGAGGGAGGAGACCTCCTCAGGCAGCAGGAGTGGGCCAGTGAGCTATTCCTTGTCTCTAACAGCAGTGAACACAGAGACTTCCAAGATGGGACTAGCTGGGCTTAAGTAGCAAGGTCAGTGTGTGGAGACTGAGAAGGAAAGGGAAAGTCAATATCACATAGCCCCACCCAGAGGTAAAGGGGGTTTAAGTCAGACTACTGAGGCCTTGACTCTAGGCAGGCAGGGGCATGTCTTTGTGGTCGCCTGGGCCTCTCTCTCCAGGGCATATAGGGGCCGCGAGCAAGATGCCTTGGGAAACCCCTATGTACCACAGGGGCCTGGCGCTGGTAACAGGGTGGGCGGAAGTTGGGCACGGGTGGTTGGGGATAAAAACTAAAGTCACCCTCAAAGGTATATCCTCCGTGGGTAGGTGGGGGGTCATCTGAATGAATATAGAATTCATCTGACTGGAAAACATGGTCTGAGGAAAAATAAGACTCTTGTGGATAGTGTGGTAATGGGGGTGTCGCCTGAGGTGGGGGTAGGGAACATGCTAGGAGGGGTGGGGGGGGCCTTAAGGGCAAGCCAGGGGGTGGGAACAGTGGGCGTGGCCTGGGAGGAGGCATGGGTGGAGACAAGGCAAAGGCCTGGGGACCTCTGTTGACCTGGGGCTGCCATTCTTCTACCTGACTTGGACCTTCCCACAAGACAGGACCAGGCTCCCATGGGTCTCGGTGGGGCAGATCCACCCCCCAAGCATCAGCCATGTGGGCAAGCAGCAGGTAGGAGAGTCGGCGGTGTGCATGCTCATTCCAGTGCACCCCATCTCCTTGCAGATGCTTCTTGGCCTGACGGAAGTGGAAATTTAAGTCCAGCACATCGAAGCAGCGCTTTGTTGCTTCGGCATGGCTGTAGAAATTGGCCTGGCTCACTCTTTTTTTCAGGGTGGCCACCGAGATCCGGTACTGGCCCTTACACTTCTGAGGGAGGAAGGCCGCCTTGATCTTGTCACCCAAAGGCATAGCAGTGTTCCACACTAGCAGGCATGACTTGGGCAGTACCTGGTCCATGCGCCCAAACAGGTTCTCCAGGTTCTGCTTGTAGCTACTCAAGGAATTCCGCCCATACCGGGAGACGTCCCAGAGGCAAGAGTTCATAATGATCACATCTGGGGCATGCGTGCCCGACTGCAGCTCCTCTAGGACACTCTCCATGTACTCAGAATAGACGCGCGTGAGGAAGTAGAAGCGCACCAGATGATGGTCGGAGCAGAATTCGCGCACCTCGCGGTAGTCAGTGCGGTTGTGTAGGGTGTCCAGCTCGCCTCCCCTCATCAGCTGATCCTTTTCAAATGTCAGCTCCCCTTTGGTTCTGAGCTGCTTGTTACTGAGCAGGCAATCTTTCTGCAGCAGGAGCACCAGGTCCTTGTACACTGCCCTATGTACAGAGTCCCCAAGGACGACCACATACTTGTTATGGAGAAGCTGCTGAACTTCTGAGGCCAACAGGCGAACCATGATGCCCTGCGCGGTGCCTCTTAGCTCCCTCTTTTGCACAAGCTGGGTCTGGGAATTGCTAGAACAGAAGAGAGAGTGCTGGGAGGGGCTCACCCTTAGGCAGAACAGCAAGCTTAAGAAAGATAAGGGAAAAGTACAGTTTGGGGAACTGCTGCCTGAGGGTGTGTGCCCCCAAAAAACCCACATTGCTGGCTCCAGAAGGCTGGGCCTTAAGTGTTTGTGGGGAGGGGTTGGGAAGAGGGAAGGAGCAGAAACCCTCCTTGATCTGTCTGTTAGCCCTGCAATTTGTTCTCCATCTATCTCCTGTTTACTTCCAACAATCACCATTTCCTGAAGCTCAAACCATCTTCAATGTGTTAAAAAAAAAAAATCCAACCACTGGGTTGGGCAGATGGTTGAGTGGGTAAAAAAGGCACTAATAGAGGATCTATGATTAAATCCCAAGCACAGACAAGCAGACCCCAGAGGCTTTCCTGGCAGCTAGTCTAGCAAAAACAGCAGGATTTAGGTTAAGTCAGAGAACTGCTCACAAAAAATAAGGCGGGCAGCTGTGCCTGGGGATGGCCGCCATTTGTCCCAGCATTTGGGAGGCCGAGGCGGGCAGAACTCTATGAGTTCAAAAGGCTAGGTGCGTGGCTAGGTGAGTCCAACGAATTCCAGACCAGCCAATACGACATAAGGAAAACCCGTCTCAATAAATAAATAAATGGGGGGGGGGGCGGTGAAGAAAATGGCAAGAGGAAGACACCTCTCAGACCCAGAAAGACAAATAAATATTGCTTGTTTTTTAAAAAAAGGAAAGCATACATACTGACCGCCAATCTCCAGACTCGAGCGTGTATGTGTGTGCTTACACCCCACCCCCAAATGCCACCCACACAGTTAAAAAAAATAAAAAGGTTCCGGGGATAGAGGCCTCACTTGATGCAAGCTCTAGGTTCAGTCTTCTGCTTCTACAACCAGAGGAAAAATGCTAATGACTGACATTATTTCCACTCTTCTTCCAAGCCTTTCTTTGCCTGTAAATTCCCAAACTGCCTTTCTAGTCTCCTGTCAATCTGTCTCTTGGTGAATTTGCATGTCCCCGGGGCTGAGTTAAGTAAAGGCTTGGCCTTTTTAAACACTTTGATGATGTGGGGCCCATCTTCAAAACCTCAAAAGAAACCCAGGCGGTGGTGGCGACACCTCAAATCCCAGAACTGCAGAGGCAGGAGGATCCATGTGAGTTGAAGGCCAGCCTAGTCTACTGGCTAGGTCAGCCTCTGTTGAGGCACCCTGTCTCAAAACACAAAACTTCAGGTGCGGTTAGACTGCATCCCCTGGGACAATTAAAAAGTAGACTCCCACTTCAACACTCCAAACTTCACCCAGGCAGGGGCATAGCAGCCACTCTGGCTGTGTGAAAGCCCTTGGGATCCACTATGCCCAGAGAACTGTAAGGTAATATACACTGTCAACATTTTCATAGGCATGGGTGGACAACTGGCATTAAATTGTTTAAAAAAAAAATTGGGCATTTTTTCCCCTTTGGTTTTTTGAGGCAGGGTTTCTCTGCATAGCCCTGGCTGTCCTGGAATTTTCTCTGTAGCCAGGCTGACTCTGAACTCACAGAGATCCGCCTACCTCTGCGTCCCCAGTGCTGGGAGGATTAATGGTGTGCACGACCATTCAGTACTTCTTGAGAAAAGACTTTGCTGTATAATCGATGCTGGCCTCAAACTCCTGATCATTCCATTTTAGCCTCTGAGTGCTGGTTATTATAAGAATGTCCCACGACACCTGAAGCTTTGTCTTTGAAACTGGGTCTTGCTATGTAGCACCTCACTGTCCTAGAATTCACTAGGTAGACCAAGCTGGCCTTGAGGAACTCAGAGGTCCGTTTGCCTCTGCTTTCCAGATTGCTGGAATTAAAAGGAATGGGACACCAGGCCCAGCTAACAAATGTTAGGGCTGTACTACATGTGGTTTTAAGTGGTCACAAATATAAATTATAAAAATAGGGAGCATACATATTGAGTTTTCACAGAACAGGTAAAAATACTGACTTATCTTCCCCCAGTTTCTACTACTGCTCTGAGAAAAGAAGTTCTACAGGGAGTGGTGGCACCCCTTTAATCCCATCACTTGGCAGAGAGAGGCAGCTGGAAATCAGCGCCTTAGAGGCTAGCCTGGTCTACTTGATGAGTTCCAGGGACAGTCAAGGCTACACTGTGAGACCCTGTCAACAAGACCAAAGAGGAAAAAAGTTTAACAACAGCAGCTCATAACTGTGGTGCACCAACCCAGTGCATGAAGTAGAGCGCACATAGGGCTGGAGATGTGGCTCACCTAGCCCACGGAGAGCCAGGAGTTGCATCCCCATCACCACACAACCAGGGAGTGGTGGCACAAACTGTAGTATCAGCCCTTGGGAAGATCAAAGTCATCTATGGTTACTTAGTGAGTTTGAGGCCAGCCAGGTATACATGAGACACTGTCTCAAAAAGAGAGGGGGAGAGAATGAGCTAACATTATTTGTCTTCTGAACTTAGAAACATTGATAAACTAGGCTTGGTAGTATAGGACCATAATGCTAGCCCTTGGGAGGCAGAGGCAGGAGAAATGCAGCCTGATCTATACAGTAAGACCCTGTCTCAAAATATCAAAAGGAAAAAAATAAATAAATAACAGGAGGGGGAAGGGAGAACCTCAGGGGGAACTGTCAGGTGTGGCGCAAACTTGTAATACCACACAGCTTGACAGAAAAGGAGGATCAGGGGTTCAAGGCCAGCCTGGGTCAAAAACAAGAAAAACCACACTAGAGAAGAACACTGCTTTGGATCCACAATGCTGGGATGGCCACCAGCTCTCGGCCTCTCTGAAACACGAGGCCTGAGTGTGGAGCACTCGGATATTCTGTTTATTTTGCCGTGAAGGCAGACACTCACGGGGGCCAGTAGAGACTGTCAGATTCCTTGCAGCTGGAGTTCAGGGCACTTGTGAGCAGCCTGAGTTCTGAGCAGCCTGGTTCTGAGCAGCAGTGCTCTTAACCTGAACCAAGGCTCCGGCCAAATGTAAAGTACTTAGAACAAGGCCTGCCGAGCTCTTCGCACCAGTATGAGTTAGTGAGCTTGCTACCGAAGCCACCAGTTTAACCATCTGCAAAGGGGAGAACTGTTCACCTTTCGTCCGGGTTCCTCAAAAACCAAAGGAGACAACGACCACAGGGGAGCTGATGTTTACAAAATGAGAGAGGGATCGTTCTCCCCATCCCTATGTGATAGAAAAGGTTATAGGAATCATGGACTTACTCGTTTTTATTCATAGGCAATGATCAAAACCCAGGGTGGATGGTTGTGTGTGCTTGGGGATAGGGGTAATGACTATGACATCTCATCATTCAGTCTCAAGCAAGAGACACAAATATTAAACCAGGTATTAGCATAGTCCAGGAAAACAAAATGCTGCAAACAATGACGTCTCTGAGGAAAGATTGGCAGGATCTTAACCAGAGAACCTCAGAAAAATATGCTGCATCCCCCACCCCCAGTCAAGCAGACCAGCAAGAATTCTCCATTGTCCTCCAGGGGAAGGTGCAGATAGCATCAAGGAGAGAGAGAGAGAGAGAGGGAGAGAGAACATTCCAGTAAGCAGCTGAAACCAAATCAAGGGGCGGGGGTGCACAACAAACAGATGGACAAAGTCACACACCCTCTGCCTGGTCCCCATGGGAAAGACTGGGCCGTGCTAGGAAGCCACTCAACACAGGTCAAAACTAAATGACACTTTTAGTAAAAACCCGAATCTTCTCAGACACTTAACGAAGGCCAGAAACTTCCAGTTTCAGGTTCTTTTTATTTATAAAAACTGAAACAAACAGGGATTTGAATATAGTCAGGCTAGAGCAAATTGCTGAAGTCCCTCATTAATTCTGGAAGCGATTTTATGGACTCATTTAATTAGGGAGGAAACAGTGGGTCAGCTGTGGCGCTCCTGAACCAGGTACAAAAGGGCAGTCTCAGCTGGGCGGTGTAAACACCTAAGATCTCAGCACGAGGGGGGGGGGGCTGGTGCTGGACTGCTCAAAAAGAAAACTAAACTGAGTTGCTCCCTTCCCTCCAGGGGAGAGATAAGGCTGCCAAGGACAGTTAAGAGGGGGCTGATTCTTCAGGAGGGCTGTGTGCAGAAGTACCCAAGGCTGTGTCTAAGGAGTCAAAGGGGTACAAGGCCTACAATTCCACTCTCTAGAAAAGTTTCGGGACTCTCTAAAGCTGTTGCGCTGTAAGATCTGAGCCTCTAAAGTTGCAGGTGAACTATGCATTAATAACGGCTACCACTATTTTAAAAAAACGACTTTCAAGCCAATTTGCTTGTATTTCTTTCTCCGCTTGGGATAATTAATTTTTCAGAAGCTTCACAAGGCATGAATTATAAATCCTTGACTATTACTTTATAGCTATCGCAAAACAAACCCAGAGCATTTATTTTTCATTAATCAATGTTTTGTGGTAATTGGGTTAGTTTTTGGAAGAGTGAAAACCAACTAGGCTGGTTGCTCAGGAGACAGAGACGTCTTAAAGCATGATGACAGACTTGACAACTGGGATGCTGGCTGCTTGGCTTTCTAGCAGGAACCCTCATCACCAACAGTTCCAGGACCTGACTAAAGTCCACTCAATGTTACACTAGGCCTTCAAACAGCTCCTTTCCCTTTTAAAGGCATTTAGGGGGAATCTATCTATCTAATTATCTATCTATCTATCTATCTATCTATCTATCAATCTATCTATCATCAGTTGTTTTTTTTTTGTTGTTGTTTGTTTGTTTTTTGAGACAGGGTTACACTATGTAGCCTGGTAGGCCTGGAAGTTGATATGTAGACTAGGTTGGCCCTGAACATGAAGATCTGCCTGCCTCTGCATCCTGAGTGCTGAGATTAAAAAATGCCCAGCTCAAATAATTATTTTTTACTTTTCCAAGATCCCTTTCAAATTTAAGGCAATGCACAAAAATAATTATTTCTCAGGAAGTCACCTTTTGACTTCCTTATGTTTTGGCAATTGTTTCGTTTTCTAAGTTGAACTAGTCAGTCAAAAATTATACAGCCTGCAATGGAGCCCCCACTAGATTGGACTGGGCTACCAACAATCAGTTCCGGGTCCCAGAGTGGCCCCCAGGGCCTGCTAACTCTTGGATAGTGATAGCTTCTGGGGGGAAGGGCAGTCACTGCATTCTGAACTCTGGCCTGGGAACTCGCCACAGACTTGATTTGGGGCAAGTAAGCTAATATCTACTTTACACAGCACCAAAAATGGGAGGAGCAGTATTTTTAAAATGGCTTTAGGACCACATAAAATATAAAGGCATTGTGTAATACTGTGGTTTAGTGTGGCACCACGGAAACCACTGCCAGGTGGCCACTGGGAAGCCCACATCTCATCCTCCCAAGCCAGGTGGCATCACCTGCTTAACAGGCCTCAGGCCTGCAGTCTATTAGGAAAAATGTAGTTTCCAGTGTGTGTCAGGGCCTTGACAGCCGTCACTCTGCATATTTAACTTGGTAGAGACCAGTGACCACAGTGACATCCAGCCTTTAAAGTGGGTTTCCGGTGGCTACAAAACGGCTTAGGCTGGTTTAGGCTGGCGCTGAGGTGGATACACACTGGGAACGTGGCTGTACCTGCTCACCCCACCAACATTCAATAACGCTGCGATTTGGCAGATAAATCACTGGAAGAACTTCAAACACTGTGAGTCTGAAAAGTTACAAAGCTTGAAATCTCTCAAAGCTCGAAAAATCAAAAAACAAAAACCTCTTAAAGTATGCATGTTTTCCCATATTAATAATCTATTATAAATCTTAAGGGCTACAGAAAGAAATGCAAGGAGTAAATTTAAAAATGAAGTAGAAGACCCTGATACTCACTATGCGGGTGACATCACTATTTAGAAAAAAAGAAAGGGTTTTCTTTTTGTAACTCTGGCTGTCCCGGAACTCACGCTGCAGATTAGGCTGGCCTCGAACTCAGAGATCCGCCTGCCTGTCTCCCAAGAGCTGTGATTAAAGGCGTGTGCCACCGCCGCCAGGTTCCCATTTGGATCTTTTAAACAGTTCCTAAAAGCTTGATTTCGATCGTGTACAGGCTTTCAAATTTTTAGAATTACCACCCCGATTCGTTACTCCAGTTTCCCCTCTAATTTTGTCTATTAGGGTAAGGAAAATATCCTGAGTTGGCAACCTGGCTTTCACCTCCAAGACACAGTGCCATACTGGTCTCAGGCTGGAGGCCCATCTCTCCGAGCCTCGGTTTCCCCCAGCGAGGAAGAGAGGGCACCTGGCGTCTCAAAGGCCTAGCCACGCCTGCAAAACACCAGGCCCCCCTTTAAACTCCAGCAAAGCAAACTGGCCCCACTCAGGTTCTAGAGAAAACAGCCCGAGGACCCCAAGTCCCTGAGCCCCCGACCCCGAGGTCCCCCTTCCCACCGAGTGCAAAGGCGGACACGTACCTGCTTCTGGGGCAAGTCAACAGCCAAGTCGCGCGGGAGTTCTCTACACCCTCAAGCTATCTCTCCAGTGCGGACTAACCCTGCAGTCTGCATTTCAGTCACTAGTCCTAAGGTTAGCTCCCACCCTCCTAATTTCTTGCTGTTAAGAAAAGAAAAAAGAAAAAAAAAAAGGGGGGGGGAAGGAAAAAAAGAAAGGTAACTTTGCTGGCTCCACCTCCAGGCCTGTCCACCGCCTGGCCTTCAAGGCCAGTTTTAAAGCGCTGTTTGCACTGCCTGTGTCCCGTCCTCTCCTCCCACTCACTCCTCCTCTGATTTTAACTTGGCTTCCAATCGCTTCAAACCCGAAGACATTTGTCAGTAAATCAGCACTGGCTTCTTGGCTTCCTTTCAAAGGCCGATTCTTGACCTTCCCCCGCGGCTGCGGACCACACTTCTGCAGCGCCCTCCGGGGTCCCTGTCACTGGGTTCTGTCTTGACCTGGATCCTTTGCGGTGCTTCTCGTTCTTTCTCAGGGGTTCCCTCAAAGCTGGTCTTCCTCAAGGCACTCTCCCCAGTTCTCCAGCCTCCCGCAAGCTTGGTTTCAGTCACCCTCCGGTCTGCGTGCTATCCCAGTTTGGCCCTATCTAGCTCAGGGTTTCGCCCGTTTTCCAAGTCAGGGTGTAAATGGCTTCTCTTCCCCAGATCCAGGAGGAAGACGAAGGACCACCCATCACCTTATCAATACTATTTGTATGCAGATGACTCAGAATTGAGGCAATAAAGCCACCAGGCTGAGTGGGAGGGTCCGGGATTTGGCCCTGGGGTAAGATCCAGCTGGAGATTCCCGCCCCCCACCAGTTCTGCACTCTCCTGGCTTCAGGCGTCGTGGCCTGGAGGGGAGGAGAACCAGTAAGTTACTAGTGATTTCTTAATAGTTGATGGCTACCCTTCCTCACCCCAGCCCCCCAGCGTCTCCTCAACTCCAGGCATTCAGGTGGGTAAAATTCTTTAGTGGGGGGAAGGGAGGAGTAACAATAGCCTTCCAAATCCTCCAGGGTTCTTTATCCTCTCACCAAATCGAGACAATTCCTGAGACAATTCCCTCCTGACCTTTGGACAGTCTTCCTCCAGGTAAATATTGGTTGTGGCCTGGAATGATGGCAGCCTGCTGTATGTGTGTTCAGAACTTCAATTCTGGATGGAAATCTAAGATCCGGTGACAATTCCATCCAAAAGGCTGGGTCATGTTGTTCTTACTTTTCATAAATGGCTGTTTCCACTCTTCTTGAAACATTAAAAGCCTTAACCTGAAATCCTGAATGTATCTCAACCCAATCATTGCTATTTATTTCCACTTTTTTGAGGGTGGGCACTGGGGATCCTACCCAGCGTCTGATGCATGTTAGGCAAGACATGTGCATCTATGTTATGTTTATATAGCAAACTGTATGTTAATGTTAATTGTAGGCCATACAGAATATAATATAATGGTTATACACTCCATTGTTAGATATGTAAGGTAGACAGATACACATGTATATTGAAAATATACTTTAGGATTTTTCAACGTTCTCAAAAGTGGAGCAATGTTCACTTTCACTGCTGTTTTTCCTTAGTTTGCATGGCTAATATTTTATTTTCCACAAATTC